GGTGGTTTTCCTTGATATTATGAACTCAAAATTATTAAATGTGAATTTATTACAAATATAGGTTTCCCCAAGCGATACACTCATTACTCCAGTGCAGTGCAAGTCTTTGTGGAGACAGTTCCAGGCAGAAACTGAGTATACAGTCACCCAAGCTATTTCGGCACAGGTAGTTCATTAGATTGTGCTTTTCTGTGCACAATTTTTTTTTTTTTTAAAACAATGGAATTCCATCTGTAATTCCAGAAAAAATGGTTTTTCCAAGAATTTATGAAATTTCAGTTTACCTTTGTTTTGAATTTATGATCTTTGACGGTAACGACTACATACAATGCAAATTTTTTGGGGTTGGCGGCTTCATTCTGTGTAGTGAATTTTATGCATGCATATCCCTGCACATATGTTTGGCGAGGCACAAGAAGCATCTATGAAATTGGGCCTGAATTTTCAGATGCAAAATTTGATTATTATGCATTTCAAATCTGGGAATGGGGTTCCATTTTTCTGATTTCTACTAATTGCTGCCAATATGGCTTGAGAGGCCCATGCAAAGCGCTAAGATTTTTTTTTTTTTAATTATTATTCTGAATGCACTGAACCACAAAGCTAACGTTATAGGGTTAGTGTATGGATTTAGCTCACATACCTCGGTCACTTCTATGACTTGTTTGGGCTTGTGGAGATTTCTCAAAGGCCTTCTTATCAGAAGTGATCTCAAAGTTGTAAGGGGAATAGGGATGAATACTAGTCAGACATGTTGATCATTTTATCTCTATTTCTGGGTTTCCATTCTTCTGCACCTAGTTGCTGTTTTTGCCGGGATTTTTTGTACTTCAATGGGTCCATTTCCATAGATAAACTCAGTTTGTGCGTGTGTTTCAATAGTTTTTCTGGCTTCCTAGACTTATATCCATCTTGTTTGCTCGTAGATACTAATTCTTGGTATTCTTTGTCCTCTTGTTTTTTTCCCCTTGCAGTTTATTACAAAATACTGGTCATCATTCTTTTCTCTATTTACCTAGGTAGTAATCCAGGCACAGTAACGAAACTGTTATTCATTTTTGTTTAAATTTCTTGTGTGAGTTCAGGAGGCTTACAAGCAGAGTAACAATTGGCTACCACCACCATGGGCTATACTGGCTATGATTGTGCTTGGTTTTAATGAATTTATGCTGCTTCTAAAGTAAATATCACTTTCCAAAATGTTTTTTGTGGTTAACTACTTGTAAACTTATGGTTATATTCACTGACTTTTCTATCTGAAACAGAAATCCTTTCTACCTGATGGTAATTTTTGTGGCTTATCTACTTGGAAAGGCCTTATGGGTGCAGATGGACATTGCAGGAGAGTTTCGACATGGTGCTGTGAGTACAAGTGACCTCTGTTTTAAATACCTTCATCACCAGTTGGATGCACTTTTTTCTCCTGCCAACTAGAAAGTGAATGACTTACAAATTACCATCGGGCTTTTTGCTCTTACTTGAACTGTTTTATACGGGTTACATCCTGTTCTTCTCAGATGATTAGGGTCCATACTGTTTAACTAGGAGCTCAAAATGGATTTGTTTGGGCCTGGTGGAAGATGCTGAAATCTGCGTAACTTGTTTATTTTGTTGCAGCTGCCTGGACTACTGTCTATATCATCCAAGTTTCTTCCCACAGTCATGAACCTTCTGAAGCGTCTTGCTGAAGAAGCTCAGGGACATGCAGCATCTGGAGGAACAGAAACACAAAACCCTAGTGCTACTTCCCAGGCATTCAGAAATCAAACGCCGAGACCCGATCCAGCAACAGGCTCAATCAACCCGGCTTCATCGGTCTCAAGTGTTGGATCTTCTGATGGTGATAGTGAATATTCAACCACAAACTTGACTCAGAGGCGAAGAACAATCACGCCAGAAGCTGAACTTTCCTGAACATTCACTTTCATTCAAGGGGGCTTAGGTCACGACATGCAGATCATAGAATGCTTTGTCATATATATCAGTTTTGTATTTGTTATTAGCTGAAAATTCGAATCATTACTTGTAAATTTGTCGACCCTGCCATATGAAGGGAGAAACCCCATTTAGGTTTAATCCCTTAAATATATATTTTTAGGCTATAATAATAAACTATTATAAACTGATGCTTGTTAAAGGCAAGGGTCGAATTAATGCCTCGTTAAATTCACATATTCTTCTCATTTAGCAGCTAGATATTGAGATTGTGATATTCTCATATCTCCCTTTTCTTAAAAAAAAAATTATTGTGCAGTCCCACGTAACTAATTTACAACAGATTTGAATTTAGGTTGCTATTTATGCTTCATCTCACCCTTACTACTTCGCCAAGTGTCTTGGGTCTCTGGTCCCCCCCCCCCCCCTATTTTTAATATAACAATTTTTTCAAGGATCCGATTAATGTGAATCCAGTCATGTTTCATCAAAGCCTTCTTAATACTAGCATTTTTTTTTCATACTATGCATAAGCATATTTTTTTAGTAGAAGCAATATTGAGGTACTCTCTTAGTGGGAATTCAGTTTGGATGTTTAATAATTTAGTTCGTGTTATGCTTCAGCATTGGAATTTGTCTACTTCCCTAATAATTCCAAATAATGGTAGTAAAAGGTTGGTAACTTATGCAACGTTGGTGAATTTTAAATGCTAAATTTTGTTGGTTATTTTTTACTTTGATGTGATGCTTTCCGGTATAGCTAGAAGTTACCAAAGTTAACAGATTTTTTCTTTCTAAATCAGAATGACTTGGTTAACGACAATGGCGCAGCTGATGCTCCCTTCTCTTTAAATAATTCATCCTAACATGATGAATTAGAATTCAATAATGCTGCATTGGCTACGCTCTCAGATAACTCTTTATTTTTAATATATTTAAAGAATATTTTAAGTGTTATAAATAAAGAAGAAATAGAGAAAAATAATATAGAAGAAGAGAGAGTATTTCTCATTCTATTCAAGAGTTCCTAAATACATGATACATGGCTTTTATTTCAGATTATATAATAATAGGAGATAATTGTGGGATATAGAGATAATAAGATATATTAGAGATTATAGGAGATAATGAGAGATATATAAACATCCATAAAGATATTATTGTATTTAAGTGATTTTTGGAGCGTTATCAATACATTTTAGTAGATTTCTAAGAGTTAATTGGAAGATTTAATTTTGAGCATGATTTGGGGATTTCATTGTAAATGAATTGGTTTTAAATAAATAAAAGTAGTTATCGGTAATTTAAAAATTTATCTTATATTATTTCAGTTTTAATTTTATTTTATTTTCTTTTTAGTTTTTATTTATTTTATCTTTACTTCTCCCCTCTTTCATTATTGCCAGAAACGACACCGTGGAGGAGAGTTTGAAGCTGCTGAACAACGCACTGTTTGGGAGAATGAAGTTTTCGGGAAGTCCACAGCAAAGGACGGCAGCGTTCTGGGGAGACCACTTTGGAGACCTAGGGACTGTTCATCATCGGCTGAGAAGCTGGCTGCGGGAGGGACTGGGCCGCACTGTTCTGGGTAATTTTATGATTCGCTGGACCTGAGGGAAGACGCCGTCGTCTTCCTCTTGAGGCCGCCGATCGGATTGTGGAGAGGGGAGTGCGCCGTTCTTCTGCTGGAGCTTAGCTGGAGACCGACTCTGGTTCATTGACGTTTCTTCTTCTTCTCTGGACCGACTGGTTCTAGTAGGAAGGAAGCATTGTCGAGCTGGAACGGAGCTACAGTTGCTGGAGACTTGGGTTCTTATCCGGTTTACAATCATTCCGCTTTCATCATTCCAGTATTCAGATTTTTCATTCCACTGTTAACATTCTTCTTCCATTCCATTATGTCATCCTGTTTCGGAATTACTGTTGCTGAATTTGAATTGACTAGTCATGTGTAGCTAATTTCATTTTGCAACCTAGATACTACGAAGTTGTTTGTAATTTAGAGATTATTCCCATTGTTTGGTTATGCTTAATCTTTACTCTAGTTTACTCAATCTTGTATTTAATTTTAACCTGCTCAGTGCTTGGCCACCATTGAGTTTGTTTTGGGAGTTTAGGATTGACCTTGACGAAGGGAATCTTAGATAGACCGTGGGATTAAGTAATATGGAATTGGATTTGATCTAATTTGTACCTAGGATAGACATCTTCCTAGAGGCTCCGCATAATCAAATTTGAGTGAAATTGGATTAAATTACGCCTTATATAATTGTGTGAGAGATTACATAATTACTTGAGGTAGAGTTATAAGTGGACCAACAAGCACTTTTAACTACTAATACTCTAGATTAACTAATTAAGTATAATTAATCTAGTGGGGATAAAATCTAAGGATCAACAATGGATTAGTGGCTCTAGGTTGTTCTTTTTGTCTTTTGCAATTCTTAATTGGTAACTCTCACTTGTTTAATTTCAAGTTTATTTTACTTAATTCAAATTCAATCTTGATTTTCTCAACTTAAACGAAAAAAGAATTTTTATTGCCTAATTACTGATTAACTAAGTTTTCTGTGAGATCAACCTTGATTTGCCGCTATCTAATTTTACAGCCCGTAGGCGTCTTTTGATATTTGGTAGCATCACTCTCTTTTATTTTTTTCCTATTGAACTGCCCTCACGATTGCATTTTTCATAGGAAACATTTCCAATTGAAATGAGTAGATGCAATTTTTTCTAACACAACAAAGTTTCTTTCCTTGTTATTCCCCCACCCGGAGAAGCACTTCTTGAAGGAAAAAATGGTGAAGCATTTTTCTTTTGTTGAAGTGTCTGTGTTTCTGCGCTTCCTGGCCCTGCATTTGGAATTATTGTTATTGTTAGTGCTAGTACTAGTACTACTACTACTACTACTACTACTAACTACTACCACCACTGCTGCTGCTGCTGCTGCTGACCCATCGCCCTTTTGGTTTCCTTTTCATTTATGGTTGCAGTCCTGCAAGATGGCAAAGGGCTTGATATGGGCTACAGCAGAGGATTTGGCCCGAAATAGAGGAAAGGTTCTCTCATTGTATCGCCAAATACTGAGAAGCCTTAACTCTCCAAAGTTACCACTTAATTTAGCTGCAAGAATGGCTAAGAAGGCAGAGGTACGTGCCATTTTTTTGCTGGGTTCTGAGGAACGGTCAGTGCACAACATTGTTGACCTCATTGATGCTGCAGAATACTCTCTTTCCCTTTTAAGAAAAGGTGAAATCCCTAAGCACATTCAATGAGCCAACTGATTTACTTCTCAGAATAGTGTTTTCAAATCTTTCTCTCCTTTTTCTATTTGAGTTCATTCCTGAAGTGTCAGTTGTAATGGATATTATTCTTTTGGTACTGGACCTAAAATGGAGTGGTGGTCTTTTATCTTTCATAGAATATTATTCACTATGAGGTGAATTTGTTCAAAAGGTTGCATGTAGTGAGTTGCCAATGTGGGCCATCTGTTAATGTCATTTAGTTTCTTTGGATTACTGTTGATTGTGTTAGTGTTTGATAGGAATGCAAACTTACTGTTAGATATCATTTCATATTGTACCAAAACCCATCTGTATTTTTACTCCCATTAAAAATAATAAACGTAGCATAGTTGCTTGACACATTTTAATTTAACAAATTTGTCTCTGTTTCAAAGGTACAAAAATATATAGATTTTTCTCTAGATATCTGATGTTTCAGATTGCAGACCTATCTTTTACATGAAGAATTGGCCTCCACAATCCTGTCCATATCTGTAATATTATTCTAAGAATGATTGGTTGTGCAGGTCATTTCCATTATGTCTGCGTCGGAACATATATCTGAGAAAGACATCTTAGTTAAATGATTGAGATACTTGTTATATAGAATCAAAGGACGTTCCAGTTTCTGGATGCATAATTCTCTTGGGTTTATGAAGGAATAGAATAGCAAGTATGTGCCATTCCATTGATTGGGTGTATTAATGAGGGAAGGGAGAACCTCCTTTACCATTGTTTGCAAGTTGCAGTAAAATGGATGGAATGTAATGGCTTATAAACTTGTTTTTGATGAAATGAACCGCAGTGTGCTTGTGGGAAAATAGATTGCATCCCTTAATGCGATGTTATGTAGAAAAGTGTTTTCTAGAAAGGAAATGAGAAATACATCTATCCCTTTTCCTTTCTAGGTGCATTTCCCATTTCCTTTCTAGAAAACATTTTCCAATGTACCAAACGTTGCCTAAGGTGGCTTTACCGTGCAATTGCATTTTTACGATCATCTGTTGCTTATAAGACACTGGCATGGAAGAAAATGACTCTTGCGAAGTTTAGTAATTTCATTTGGGGAACGTATTCTTACATGCACTTGCATTGGTCAGTTGATCTTACATATTTGCTTTGTTGCAAGACGTTACTTGGATCATAAAGATGCGTGTATCTAGTCTGTGCTTTCAGAATCAAATTTATTTATTGTTACTGCCTGTTAGTGTATTTCTGCATCTTGTTTGGTTGGAGGGGAGAGGAGGTAAGGAAGTGGCAAATAGCAGAAGATACTGCTAGAAGATCTTCAACGGCTTGTGCTAAAAAGGATCTTTAATGGAACAATCACAGGAAGACTAGGAAAAGAGAACTCCCATCAGAACCAATTTAATAGATCTTTGAATGCTTGTGCTGAAAAGGATGATTCTTTTAAATTTTTCTTTTTTCAAATTTTCCTTGGGGTTTCACATATGTTGAGGAATAGATCACGATTTTTCAACATGTTCAGTAACTTGTATTCCTACAGGCTACATGCCCTCTTCTCTGTTAAGATGGGTAGTTGAATGATTCCTAATTGCAATTGCAGAGTTTAGTTCCTAGTTGATGTTTGTGATTTACTTTTGTTTCTCCATCTGAAGTGGAGGACTTTCCATTTTCCATATTCAATATACTCTTCTCAACCTGAGAGCCACTTCTGGGCTTGTGCTGCTCAGTGCTCATTGCTTGTCTCTCGTGGAGAGAGCTTTTAAGTGGACATATAGTGGCATGAAAATGTGTTCCATTATCTTTTGCTGGATAATTTTAATAACTAAAATCCCACATTCGGGTTAATGGACCTCATGGGATTCTTGTGGGACAAGATATTGAGGCCATGGATAAAGCAGTTTGCATGAATTGTCATTTCTTGAGGATATGTTAAGTCATATATGCACTCTCTCTTTGGGCGACAAACAGGATTCACTTTGTTGCCTGTTGGCCATGCTTTGTTTGTTTGTTTGTTATATGGAGTGGCAATAAGGGGTCACAAGGGCCCACATTCATTATAATAACATAGTGTGCATGTCACTTTGTATCACTTTTTGAACCTCCACAAATTTGTCTTCTTTTGTTGTGCGGAGAAATCTAGTGTCCTTCAGCACTTACATTGTCCCCTTTATTATGAATCCCTTCTGCTTTTCTTGTCTTCTCTTAGGTTGCGTTTGGATACAAGGGAAGGGAAATCTTTCTTTTTCTATTATGCAAAAAAGGAGATATATAATTTCTACAATATTATCATTACTTAAAAGTATTTGTCTTTCTTTTGTATTTCGAAGATTTGAATCCTTGACTTTAATACCAAACTTCTTAATTAAAAAGAAGTTCACTAATCAAATCAATTGTGGATGGGCATACAAGTTTTTCTCCCCTTTAGTAAAGCTTACTTGATAATGTATTTATATGTGTATTCATGATTAATTTGGTCTATATTGGTGTCTACTCAAAAATTTTCATTGTTAGTATGGGAATCTTTGGGAACAATCTAGTGCACTTTGCTTCAAGAGGTTAAAAGACTAGGAGACAAGAGGGGCCTGCCTAATATTGAAGGGATAGCCTGAATTTCTTTTGAGAGAAAGGGACCACTGGGCAATAGAGATTTCTCACAAGTCAAAGCCATCATGCCAATATCAATGTGTACCATTCATGCCGTGTAACCTCTCTAAATAAAGAGCACAATATTAAAGTGTACTTGAAAAAAGTATGATTAGGGGCAAAATCATGATTAAAGATGCTCCAAATTGCCCCTCTCACCATACCCAGGGTTTTTTAATTTTGCTTTGCTACGACTTTTCATACATTAAATACATATTTACTTTATTAATTTGTGTGTGTGAGAGTTGATACACAAAACTTTAAAAGGGCAAAAAGAATGGAAAGTAAATAAAAAATGGCGCTTACAACTACCCATGCACCTATACTCGGAAAAAAAAACAGCATAAGCATGAACAGGGCCTGAGTATATAATTTTTGTGACGGTACTGTAGAACTACAGTATCAATGTTATGTTATTTTTCCAGAAAAATTTTATGTAATTGGGAGAAGGTTGGAAATGCCACAGTGAAAAAATGTTGACTGTTGACATAATGGACGTGGACTTGCATTAAAATCACAAACTTATCTTATGATGATGAAAGAAAACTAAGCAGACTGGGAAAGATGGCGCGTGGAGAAGTAGATCAAGCCCGTATGAGAGAATCCGGAGATGGCATCATAAAAATTACCAAAGATTACGATTGTAAGTATTGTTAATTAGTTTTCCCCTCAGGCCTGAAGCGTTGTTAATTAGGATTGAAGGAAAATTATTGTGAATGCCTTAAGTGACTATTGCTTTTACTTTGTGGATAATAGAGACTGGACCCAAAAAATTCGCTTAAGCATCAAGGCAATCACAATCAATGATGTTAACATTAGATTATGATTATATTTTTAACCCAATCATCTCATCAAAACACGGTCTGTCTCAACCAGGAACCAATCAATCAATCATTTCTTTTTCCTTTTTTTTTTTTTTTGCTTTTAATGCTTAATTTCATGGATGGTAAAACTTTAGAAATAATACCAAATCCAATAAATATTTTTGGGGTAAAAGTTGGCTTTATCACTTTATTTATTTTTAAGCTCATACCTCAAATTATGTAAAGTAATCTTGAGATTCAAAATAGGTCCACACTACAATAGGATCTGTGCAGGATATGTAGTATCAACATTTTTTGACCTTATCAAACCACCAAAACTGAGTTCAGTATTTTTATAGTTGAGCTTTTTCTTTACATGGAAGACCCTTTGTCACCCTATCTATCATGACCCACTTTCAATAAAATATTATAGGTTTAATTATTTTTTTCCTCGCTCATGCTTACTATTAAGTATTACGTTGGTGATGATGCAAATTGATTAGTTCTTTTTTAATCCTTTCAGGAATAAACTAGAATTTTGGTATCTTCTCAAGTGGGGTCCATTTGCTTTGAATTTGATATGGTTTTTGTGTCTCCAGATTTGAAATATCAGTAGTTGCTTCCTCGTTTTTCTTGTCTCAACGGTCGAACCACTGTCATTATATACACATTTTGACCCAAAAACTGCTACATGTTCCCTCACTCTTGACCAAAACATAAACTAAACCAATCATATTGTCTTAGACGGCAGGTTTGTTATTAGTCTGATTCTTGAGACAAACAACACTGAATAGGACAAATCTAACTAAGAAGTTAGAGTCCGTATGTAGCATCCAACCTTGTTTATTTATGTTCAATATTTTTGAGATATACTGTATGAGAGTTTAATCTAATTAATTGTAGATTACCAACACAAGAGCGGCATCTTTTCCAAATTTTAGGAGTATCTTTGTTGATAATAGCGCCCAGTTTCTTTCTGAAAAATTATAGGAATTTCCTTTCAACTCATCTTTCTTTAACTATACTACCTCCGGTCCTAATTATAAAACCCAGTTGATTAATTTCAGGAAATTAAGCAAAGAAGTTAAGTTAGTTATTTGTAATAAATAGGTATTGCTTTTCCTAAAATATCCTTACTAATCAACTATATTGGCTAAGATTACAATTATTAGAAGGACTATCTTGGAAAAAAATACATACATATGAGAGACAAAGTGGATTTGGGTCTTATATTTAGAACTAAAATAAAAGTCAAACAGAATCTTATATTAAGGACCGAAGGTAGTACTATCCTTTAATTATTTTTAAAATCTAATTAAGTTTACTATATATATATATATATGTAAAAGTTGGAAATCAAACCTTTAACTACTTGCTTGGAGGATGAAAACCCTATCACTTAGATTATCCTTACTTTTTTTAAAAAAAATAAAATCAATTTAAACATGTGCACACACACAAATATATCAACATCATGTTTGAATGTAAAGCTTTTTCTAAGCGTAGAAGGTTGCATTGTCATTAAAGCAGTTATTTACAAAATAGATTGGGGTCTTATATTATACTCATGGATGTTAATTGTGCTCCTCAGTTGATGAACCAAGACATTTAACAAAAGGAAATTCAGCTTCAAATTTGATAATGAGAAGAATGGACATTGTGTATGGATAAGTGGGAATGATTGAGGCAGCCAAGTCAACTACTAGAGAGAAATCCTGTTTTGGTCACACAAAATAGAAGAGAAAGTGTTTGAAGTGATTGTGTTAGTTGAATTGGATGACCACTACGCCATGATTAAATTCATGGGTAGGTTGGTTGACAAGTGACACACACACTACTTCTGATTTTTAATATAAGATCTCATTTAACTTTTATTTTGGTCATAAATATAAGATCCCAATCTATTTTATCTCCTATATTTATGTATTTTTTTCAAATTAGTCCTTATAATAATAATAGCTCTGGCCAATACACTTAATTAGCGAAGATATTTTTTAAAAAAATAATATATATTTATTACAAATAACTAACTTAACTTATTTTTTTAATATATTCAAATTAGTCAATGAGACATTAATTCATACCTATAACAGTCTCTCATATGAATCATTATGATGCTTTAATTTGGTCTTCTTACTCCAACCTAAATCCCATGACTATGTTCCTCCTTGTCGGATCGCACATGCTTTACCTATTTATAACTCCCACCACACTTTCTCAAGCTCACATTAATTTTGACTTTTTAATTCTTTTAATTTTTTTCCTTTGATATGACAACTTAACAAAGACAAATAAACTATTACAACAGGGTTAGATTCTCTATTTCCTTCTCAAATGACAAGATAGACATGCTTTTATAAACTATGGAAGATGAGTGGCATTATAATTCTTGATTGAAATTTATTCATTCCCAAAACTAAGTATAAATGTATTAATTTCATGGTGATTCCTAGAATTCAACAATTTTATGTACGTGTGTATTTCGACTAGTGGTTGTGTGAAAATATATGTTAGTATTATATTATTTGAAAAAAAAAATCCCTACTCATTTTTAAATATCTTCTAGACATGCCACATATAAATATTCTCAAAATTTCTCCTGAAATGAGCATATATTGAGAACTCACTCGATTGTATAATAATATATGTATGGATAAACGTGACAGCATGAAGCATCTATATACAATTTATTTATGATAAGATCAAATTAAAGCTATTTTTTTGGGAGGCCTGCAGGATCAATATTTTTAATTATTCCTCCTATTCTAAATATAATACTTATTTTATAGTGTAATTTATATTGTAATATAAAATCTATTTTGTAGTATAATTTACATCATAAATGAGCCTTATATTTAGGATAAAAAGAGTATTAAAATGTGAATTCTCTCCCTCTTCGAAAACCGCACTGCTAGTTTGACCTTTGTGTTCTCATTGAACTAAAATCTAAATCCCTATCAGTAATTCTCCGTTAAATTATTTTTCCTTTGCTCAATAAACTGAAAGACGTACGGATCAAATATATTTATTTACATTGAAGGATTAATAGTCAACCATAGGGCTACCCTTTTTCACACAACGGTGTATATCTTTATCCACCACTACTTAATAGCCTTTCTCATTTATTTATTTGGAGACATCCCAAGAAATATTAATAATATAGAAAATAATTATTAGGGTTTGTCCTTTGTATGTGCGTGTTGTGCATGCATGCCCCTAACTACCAGTTCCAAGGCCCCATCTTGGCAATTAATAAAGATCCCATCTAGTTGACTAAAACATAAGACATATTATATTTGAAATCACTTATAAACACGTTTCATGTAAATCAATATAATATCCATACCTGAATGAATATTTTGTAAATAGTAATTTAAAAACCGTTTATAAAATATTTCAAACAGGTTGTAAATATCTTTGGCTTCAAATATTCACTCCGTCAACTCCACACAAATGAGCACGGTCTTACTTTAATATTTTGATAAGATTTTAAGTAAATTGCTATTATTTGAAATATTGCAAACTTTTTATTGTTACACTGATTGTCTCATAATAAATTTATAAATTTTAAATGTATCTACTGTAACTTTTCATTTTTGGTGAAACACATACAAGTACAAGGAGGAAGCTAGAGACAAAAAAGGAATAGAGATCACGTGCACAAATAGGGATATATTTGAATTTTCCATTATCCCTCACAATTCACAATTGGAGGAAGCAATTTTCAAAGCACATGAAGGAGTTAAGAATAATGATTCAGGAGAGGCATAAGGGATTGATTATTGGAGATTTCAAGGATGTGTGTGTGCGTATATAGTCAAGAAATCCTGCGTGGTAAGTCAAGGAAGCACATGCAAGTGATGAGGAATCCTATATAAACACGACAAAGCATGATCAATCCTCAACTCATTCATACAACGAAAAGCCTCAGACTGTTCATTGAAAGTAATAAGCTTCCTGGTTAAATTTTGGATTCTGTTTTTTATTCTATTGAATACATAGAGCCTACCTAGTTTATCATAATTCAGTAATCTTGAGAAGATAGAAAGAAATATTGTTATAGATTTACCATTAATATTTTGATATATATGTGTCTGTGTGAGAGAGAGAGAGAGAGATATATATATATATATATATCCTCTTATCATAATGAATCATAACTTGGAATTTTAGTTTTGGCCTTCTAGTCTAGTTGCATAAAAACTTGAGGGAGGTTGCGCGTTTAGTTCTGCATGTAACATCTTGTGGTTAATATCTATTTTTCTAATTCAAAAGGAAAAAAAAGGCATATCTTGGATTTTTTTCAAGGATGTGAAAAACCAAAAAAAAAAAAGAAGAAGAAGAAGAAAGAAAGAATGATATAATTATGAATTTTTAATTCCTTTTTACTGCTTTAATTGGGAAAAGGTTAGCTGTTGTTAGAATTCGTGCCTTCTTATTCCTAGCGTGTACTCCACGTTTCACACCACAAACTTGTTATATTTCCATTTTTTTAATTATTATTGTATCAATATTAAACATCACTTTCAATTTTAACATAAAACTAGTTTCACATTAAATTTTATTTTAAATATAAAATCCTAATTCACTATATGTTTATATCATTCATATTTATCTATTGTTTAAAGTATTCTCTATATTAGTTACACATGTTAAATGTTTCATTAAATAGTAATTCTAACTAATATACATAATTAATAAGGATATTTTTAGAGATCATAACACATATTTATTATAAATAACTAATTCAACTTATTTTCTTAATCTACTCAAATTAGTCAACTAGTTCTTATATTAAGAACATAGACAATATTTTTTTATTACAATCCATTTTTCTCAAACACACAAATATTGGGTTTAAATTCAGGACTTTCAGCCAAACATAATTAACAATGCTGTTGTTGGAATGACCTTCTACTGTTACATATTCCATTGTTGAATTGAACCATATTCAAGCATTTTAATCAAGTTCAAAACTTATGCACATTAGTTGATATGGTAAGGGGTCTCACTCTTATAAAAAGAAAAATACAAATTTAAATCCGAGAAATGCACTTATTAGGAAGGTTTTAGTCTTAACGTTCTCGATCTGATAAAAATTAGTTTCAAGTCCAAACTGCTCAAAGATACTTCAAGTTATTTAAACTTATACTTTTTATATTACTTGAGCATATATACATTTGTTTATTAAAATATAGGAAAAGAAAACTAGAAAAGAGTAGAGGGTTGAAAAATATTTTGGCGCGCAAAGGCGTCAATATCATATCATGGGGGTAGAAATATGCCTACTTTTGAATCCACCAACATCAAAAAATGGGAAACAATTTAGTGGTCCCCCACAAGGAATGTCCATGCGGTGCAACTACCCTTTTTTCAAAAAAAAAAATCTCTAAGAACAATAGGAGAAATTACAAACAAAGACCCTTAAATATATAAAATTATGATTTGGGATTCTAAATTTGAAAAATAGCAAATAAGGACCCAGTCTCACTTTTGCAAATATGAAATGTGGGTAAAATATCTAAAATACCCCTCAGTTAAATTGTGATTTAATCTATTAAAATTTATCATTCACCAAAATAAACTTGTTATTTTCCATAGTCAACTCGTCATTTGACATATCCTCAGTCAAGTTGTGATTTGGTGTACTGAAATTCATTGACTAAAGTAAACTTGTCATTTCTCATGATCAACTTATCATTTGAATAAGAGGTATTTCACCTACATTTCATATTTAAAAAAGTAGAACTGGGTCCTTATTTGTTATTTTTCAAATTCAGAATCCCAAATCATAATTTTATATATTTGGGGTATTTATTTGCAATTTTCCCAAACAATATATCAATTTCAATAAATTTATAGATATAGTTTTTATTACATGTCTAGACATTTCTGCCTTTTGGGTATTTAGATGTAATTTCCACCCTGCATCATCCCCTGTCTATATAATCCCTTCTGCGTTCCGTCCAATTTCTATGCGTTTGCCCCCGTCTTCTTTGGCGTCGTCTTCATGTTGATGTGCAGGTAAACACCCAATCAAGCGATTGAAGAAATGAAAGATGGAGGAAGGAAGCAGGGTGCCGCGTCGCCGTGTGCGGCATGCAAGCTGCTTCGAAGAAGATGTGCTAACGACTGTGTCTTCGCTCCTTATTTCCCCGCCGATGAGCCCCACAAGTTCGCTAATGTTCACAAAGTCTTTGGAGCCAGTAATGTCAACAAAATGCTTCAGGTTTCTTCATCTCCTCCTTATTTCTGTTTTCTTGCACTTTATATCTTTCGCGAGACACACTGGTTGGTAGTGGTAATTGATTTCCACACATTGGAGCTCTGTTTCTGCAGTAAAATGTTCTGCTCTATGGTGCCCTAAAATTAATTCTACCTGAGGCATCAAATCATTGACAGTTCTATGGTACCTGTGGAAATTTCGAAGGATTCATCACTGACTTTTTGCTCTTGCTCACTTCAAGTTATTTTTCTTTACCATAAACAGTTCATTTGATTTAGTTCACTGCATACTTAATTTTTTAAAATCAATAATTGAAGGTGTGGAATTAGTTGCGCGAGTGAGAGGTAAACAGAGTAACTACTGGTTAGGAATATACTAGAACTATTGCTGGGCTGTTTCCAGCCCATATATTAGACTATTGTCTTTTTCTTGGGTGTGAAAAAACACAAACGGCGTTGCATAGTGAAGAATTTGATAATCCAAATCTAAAAAATGTTCTTGTCCTTTTGATTTGAGGGACACAATCAAGAAGCAAAATGATGCTCCAGCAAATAAAAATTTGATGCTGGCTAGGTTTTGTATATTGGACGGCTATGGCGGGCCTAGAGAAAAGATGAGGTAATAAAAGATATAAATGAAAACCAACAAGTGTTAGTCTAAGTAGAAGAGACTGTTCTGAGTTTGATCTTTGGGACGGTGTGTATGGAAAAAACACTGTTCAGAGTGGTCCTCGCTATGACGCTTAGGTGGAAGGATACTTTGGGCAAAAAAAAAAAAAAAAGAGATATAAATGAAAGCAAAATAGATAGGGAGAGGTGTGATGTGAAGTGTGAACGCACCATATAACTAATAAATGTGTTTTCAGCCTTTTCTTCTATGTCAAGGGTTACCTGAGAAAATGTCCTGTGGTAAACAATTTCAGCCCTAAGGTTGTTTCAGTTCATATCGGAATTTGCTGTGCAAGTTTACTGAAAAGCTTTAGACGATTCCATCCATCAAATATAACAACCTATACACTTATGCCTTTTGTCTAAAGTAAGAAAGTAGTCCATTCTCCTTCCGCTTCCTTTCCTTTTCATTCTCCCTGTTAACTCACTTTCTTCTGTTCTCTTTGAATAATTGCTTCTCTTTTTCTTCATGTGACATTGGGTATCACGTGAAGATTGGTTATCCTGTCAAATTCATATAGTCCTAGTCCTATATGAATAACAGCCATTTCTGTTTCCATTACAGGAGCTACCAGTGCATCAAAGAGGGGATGCAGTGAGCAGTATGGTGTATGAGGCAAATGCAAGAGTGAGAGATCCAGTGTATGGGTGTGTTGGGGCCATCTCTTCTCTTCAGCAGCAGATTGATGTGCTTCAGACCCAATTGGCCTTAGCCCAGGCTGAGGTGGTCCATCTTAGGGTTAGCCAGTCTGCTTCCCTTTCCAACCATGGGCTCAGCCCAACTAGCAGTGATTCGCCCCCACCTTCAAAGCCCGTTTTTGACATTGACTTTGTGATGGACCAATCCACATATTCTGATTCAATGTGGCCCTGCTAGTTTCGTCCCCTTTTTCCTTTATCAGAGAAGTTGATTCCCCTCATCTTCAGAGATAGATAGAGACACAATATGGATGATGTGTTTGATCTCACATATTGTGTTTTTCTCTTTTACTGAAATTGAAACAATCAATTTCTTTAGAAAGTATAAATGATTTAAATCAAGTCTTTGCTAGCATTTTAGTGGCGGTGATTACAACAGATGATGAGGAAATAGCCGTGGCGGAAGTGTTCGCCCGCTCAATTTATTTGATTTGGAAAGGTGGAAAAGGGTTCGTGGTTAGTCTATGATTAATATATAGTGTAAATATATATATGTAAGACTTAAACATGATATGAAGGTTAGAACTTAGAAGTAAACCTTACAGTGGGATTGTGGGCTTTTATGGGATTTTAGTGTTGTTTATCAAGTAATGTTATGATCTGCATGATCAAAGCAGCAAGCATTTGCCTCATGTTCAACTCTTGTTAAATTCTGCTGCTTCCTTGTAATGGTTATTGCCATCATCTTTTGATTTTTCTCGTCTCCCCCCCCCCTATCCGCCTTTGTGGTTGGTGTGCCCTTGTTACCAGTGTATTCTAGTTAATCAAAGGCAAAAATATGCCATTTTGAGGTGGATGAGACAAATGCTTGGGATTATCGTGTATCAGCCTCCGTGAAACTTTTATGAAAGCGCTTCATTCTTGGACACCGATTGTTTTCGCAAAATACAGATGCATCCTTCTCGATAAATGACAACAATTCCTTCTCAAACTTGGCACAATACTCAGTCCTCACATCTAGTTCACATTAAAATCAGATACAAGAATCGCGCATGTATGCGTAAGGACAAGAATAAGAAAAGTTCATAGTGCGCACACATGTGGGTTTTTTTTTTTTGGACTCATGTGGGTTTTACATACTAGTTTTGATTGGTAGGCAGTATATTCTTTAAATTTCTTAAAGCAATGTAATGATGCCATGGGGCCTCCCTTTCTTTTAGGGCAATAAACCATGCATGATTTAAGATCAGCTTCAGTTTCGCTCTAATTCACAGGCATTCCAAGAGAATATACAAATCAAATGAAGCACGGAGATGTGACAGACACCATCAATCTAATTTTTCATAGTAATTTCCACAGAAAATTTAAAAGGAAAAAAAAAGAAAAAGGAGAGAAAAATCAGATTACACGCAGCTTCATTAAATTATTACGCCTACACGTCCTTGGCGACAAGCTCACCGTTCAAGAACTCTCTGTAGGCAGCGACGGGCCAACTGAATCCTCTGAACACCAACCTGGTAGCGAGAGGCACGTCGATGATGATCTCCTTCTGGGTCGGTTTCTTGTCGTCCCGGATTGCAATCAGGTAGCTCCGACCAACCCACCCGATCCAACCCGCGATGTACAGGAACAAAATCCCGGGCGTAATGAACTCGCCCCAGTGCCTCTGGTCTCCGTTCACGATCAGGTGGGGCAGCCCGTCCGAGCCGCACAGAAGACCCTGCTTCCCGTAGTTGTCGAACCTCCGCTTGGTCTTCTCGATTGTCGCCTTGATCGCCAGAGCCGGTGCGCTGTCCGGCGCGTAATTCTTCAGCGACGACTCAAGCTTCTTTATCTGCTGCTTCTCACGCTTGGCGAACTGCTTGGATTCCTTGCAGGGGGTGAGGCCGGAGATGTCGGCGGCAGCGGGGAGCGGGGCGGAGAGGAGGATGGAGGAGAGGGCGAGCGCGGCGGAGAATGCCTGAAGTGGCGATGCATCGGAGGTTTTCTCACAAGATGCAGAGCAGACGATTGTAGAGGGTCTGGGTTTGAGGGAGGGTTGGGAGTTGCCTAACTTGGGCTTGAAGGAGTTGAATTTCGAGAGGTTGGTGGGGATTGTGAGAGACATGTTTCTGTTCTGAGAGGGAAGGAAAATGGGAGAGAGATTTGAAGAGAAGAGGGAGAGAAAGAGAGAGAAAGAGGCAGTGGATGGAGAGACGAGAGAAGAGTATAAGATTCTTTGGTGAGGAGTGAAGGAGGAGAAGGGGGATAAGGTGAAGCTGAGTTGGCGAGTTGCTATTGGATGAGTGCTTATTGAAGTATTTGATCTGTTATCTGCGCGGGTTAGATTGGAATTTTGGGAGGGAAGGGCGGATAAGATGGTGAGTGAGAGAGAGAGAGAGAGAGAGAGAGAGTGCTTGTGAAGTCACTCATGGGGTCCATAGCTTGCGCGTGTACAACAGTATCCGCGTGCCAGCCACGAGATTGGATATTTTATTTTTATATTTTTATTTTCTTTGTTTTACTAAATATGAAATCTAAAATAAATGTAATCTTAACTTTAAAAGTTCACACTATTCATGTTCAATTTGAGCATCGTCAATAGCGAATAAATGGTTCATCGTCAACAACTTCTCTATCATGCGATCGGGAAAAGGGTTGGCCAGCCTACAGAGTCATCTAAGCGTAAGGAACAGAACACGGAAATAAACTCCGCCGGCCATTCGCTTTAGGATGGCACTGAATTTACTAAGAATGGAAGGAGGCAAGGAAAGAAAGAAATACTAGTAGGTTTTGAATGCTTAATATCAACTTGTTTCGAATACAACAACATACTAACAATTCATAATTTAACAGCACATTTTTAACTTCCTTAAGTTTCTTTCATATATATATATATATATATATGCTTCAAGATGAGCATCATCGAAGTCCAGGTGATCAAATTACAATCCTCAGTCACATCCATCTCATTTTGCAGAGCATTGCACAAGTATCCGGCAGGATGGCTCTGATGATGCTAATGTCTTTAAATAGTAGCAACTAGGCATCCACCTTTAATGTCAGTACCAGAAATGAAATATCCACACTCCTTGAATATGGAATTGTGCGACGCATACAAAGGCATCAGAATCGTCACTTCTTTAGCAACCCTCTACCCCAAGTCCACAATGAGCCTTCGTACAGAGCACACAGAATACTTATTCTCAGCAATGGCTTTCCTCTTCTGGTCTTCTGCAGCTCCCCTCTGCAAAAGGAACTCCACCATCTTCGACATGTTCATTATAGTAACTCCCATCAAGCCACTTTTTATCCTCGGGTTGCCCGTCTGGCGAATGTCTTGGCTTTCTCTTGAGCTTTTTCATCAAAGTTGAGGAACCATCTGTTATCTCCTCTTCTGGTTTCACTTCTTTGCATGACTCAAGCTTCACGGTCTTGTGTTTCCCATCTTCAGTTTCCTTGTGTTTCCTTCTCCAGTCTGCAATATCGCATTCAGATCCATACTGTCTCCCCTCCCACTTACTTTTCTCATCCTCAACACCCAACTCTAAGCCATCCTCTAGCTCCCTCTCAATAAATTCATCCTCGTCCATTAAATCATCTCTCTTCAATGTAATTTCCCCTCGTGCTTTCCTTCTTTTTTCTAATGCAGCCTTGAACTTGTCTTTGTCAATCATCTTAATTGCTTCTTTGGGTGACTGACCAACTGGGCCTTTTCGATGCTTTAAATTTTGACCAATCCTATCTTGGTCTCCTGCACCTATTTGCTGAGTTCCCATGTTTGATCCATCTGCTAATTCTCCGTCATTATCATTCTGAGGCAACCCATCTGAAAGATGAGGGTCTCTAATTTCAACGTCTAACTTGTGATCAGTAATTACGCTTCCTATTTCTGCACTCCCATCGTTACTTTGATTTTCTGTGCTTGTGGGTGGCACCTCACGCGTAGATGAGTTCTGAGGAGCGGAACAAGATGGTATTTGTTCTGAAATCTGCTCCTCACTCACAGCAGGCTCTTTTGCCGCAGCTCTTGTTCCTCCTCCAACATTTCCTTCTACTTCACTTCCTTGAGATGGTGGAGCTTTATTCTGCTCATAGAGTTCCAACATTTGATTGCTAACCTCTGCAAGAAAATACAAACAAAGCAATTTATGATACACAGAAACACTCATGCAGTCAGACACAAAAGGACAGCCCATCATTTAACATCAAAAAACTACCCATGGCATGAAACTAAGATTGTTTCCCTCCGAATGCCTAACTTGATCAGGTAATAGGAGTAACTATGCAGATTTCAGTTCTTGGCAATCTGCTCACTTCTGTTTAGGCAGAATCGGTGGGAGGCATGAGGATGCATAAGATGGCTAGAGACATGATTTCATTACAAGCTTTCACAAAATTCAAGGTAAACAGGAGTGACTGATACTATCATAATGTAAAAAGCCATGGGGATTTAAAAAGGCTATCCAGTTGGGTCAACTTGATTTGTATACAAACAAATAGAGGGGATGACACCAACCCTCCAATTGGCGTGGGGTGACATCAAACTCTTGCCACCAAACCTTCTCACCATCTGATGGAAGCTTCACTTTAAGGAACTTGGCAGCAAGGAAAATGGCACCTGCCGCAATATGATGTGGCTTAAATTGCAGGCAGAGCGAAGTCCTCAGCCTGAAAGCCACTTTCTAGTGTGTAAACAAGATATAGTGGAAAATAATTAAAACACACATGATAACGATTAATACAATGGCATCTTAATCATACCCATCATTGACAAAATTCCATGCAACTTGTGCAAGGGCACTCTTTGCAACATCAAACTTCTTTATGGCCTCAACAAGGGGCTTATAGGGATGTTGAACATTGAGATCAAAACCTAAAGTGGCAAGCACAGACCTCTCACTCAGTAAAATCAACTCTTTCTGCTGCTCATATACTTCCTGCATTGTTTATGAACAATAACAAGGAAATATAAATAGAAATAATATAACGAGTAGTCAAATAAGTATAAAAGCAAGTTGAAAAGGTGCTAAGGAGACTAAAATAGGTGAAATTTGATCTACATCCTAATAAAAGGGGTACAGAGAAAGAAGAAATACTGATAGTAAATAATAAAATTCCAAACAACCTGTTTTATTAGTAGTAACAGAAAGGTGTATGAGTAAATATCAATCAAAGGCTTTTCCGCTTTAATAACTTCATGACATACAATAATTTCAGTAAGATAAACCAGTAATGTTAGACCAAGCATTTCACAATAGAAAAAGGGTAAATATGCTAGAAACTGATTTTGAAGGAAAGCCATCCTTGAAGCATGTGGAAAACAGAACTACTCCAGTGTAGAAAAGAAACAGGGAGAAAGAAAACAAGAGAGAATGGCTTGGGATAAGTGCAGGACAACAACAATGCAGGAAATTCCGCAATTCAGGATGATTAGTATTGAAACGAACTGGTTAAAGCATTGCCACTATTCCATAATAAAATACCTTCTGTTTTATCCTCTGTGCAGCAGCAGGATCTTTCTTGTAAATAATCTCATAAGAAACAATAATGACATCCTTTAGTGGTCGAGGAGTCTCTTCAACCTTCCCAGCAAGGAACATACAGACAGTTGCAATAATCTGCAGAAAATTTTCAGTGAGATCCTAATAAAGTACATGCTTCAAGTATTTACAGCTTTTGCACATATTCTTAAAAGTTGATCTAAATCAGAACTATCATGGGGTCAGCAAATTTAAGAGACCATCTTCATTCCTGAAGCTGTATGCCCACAGATCACAGTTAATACACAAGTTATCCAAAGTCACGTGATGCTTCACCAGAGACCCGGTATCTAAATGGGCAAAGTGCAAGTTCAACACCTTTTGCCACCAAAACAAGAATTTATGACCAAACCTACACCAAATATGACTGGTTTCTGGTCCAGTATCTTGTATAGCAAGATCACTGTCAACGTCAATGAGTCCAGAAATTATTAGCATGACAACTATTATTAGGTCACATAAAATTTTTATCAGAAGTGGAAAGAAAACCCCCAAGAATTAGAATGGATCATAGCTATACTAGATTTACATCAAAGTTACAATTTCCTGAAAGCAAATCAATAATCATGGGATCCAAAATAATGATGAGGTGCAGATATGTTAATAAATAGCAAATTCAAAACTTTTACCAGAACTGGAAAATTGATTGTTTTTAACCAGATAATGCAAACAAAATGCAGAATAAAAAAGGATTCATTACAACTAATCTTTTTGTCATTTTTCCCCTTAAAGAATGAAAAGGGATGCATTCAATCAGAATTTTTTTCCTAAAAAAAAGCATAAAATTAGCAAGCTCTTGACAACTAGTTGAATGAAAAAGATCATCAAAATCTTTTGTGAAGTTAAACAATTATATTAATGAAGCTGCAAACATAAATAATACAAATTTGTGAAATTTGTATAACAGGTTGACTTTCCTTTAGACACTGGTACCGCATTTTTGGTATATGGACTATAGCAGTAGTATGAAAGATAGTCCTCTTTTGTCAAAAATACCATTCAACAACTATCCAAAAAAATAAAAGTATGCCATAAGAACATGAAAATACAACAATATCATAACCAAAAGCCATCCATCAAGCATCTGTCAGGTAGGGAAAGCAGTGCCAACTAACATGTATAAAAATGTTACAACTTAACATACAACTAAGGCCACTCACCAGCAAATGCATACCACAGACCTGTTACTCACTAAACCATTAACACAAGCATGTCATACTAACATAAGCGCAACTTAGTAAGGATCAGGAGAGGTAAAATGCACAGTATCAATTTGAAAGTGAAACAACCCACCCTTCGATCATTCTTTGCATGAGATTGTTGAAGAAAGAACCGATGACAAAAAACTATGGCTGTTGCTATAGTTACCTGAGGCCTGCAATGGTCAAAATTAACACCGAAATGTGAATCTCCAATCAAAATCCTAGAACTGGATATCAATATCTACAACATAGCGTAGATCCACATGCATCACAAAAGTAACTTCAGATGCTAGGCTTCCATTTGTCTGGGCAAAGACTCCTATAAAGATACGTAGCTATCTCAGAATAAAGAAAAGCAGAGTAAAAAGAGCAACCTAGTTGGGGAGTGTAAGGGTGCATGTTCTTGTGGGGCTTTACGTACATGCATGCAATCACAAATTGAATTAGTGGGTGTTTCATACATTCAAACAGCCTTACTTGTCAAGAAAGGTTAACTAAAAATTCAGAGTGCAAATTCACACTTTAAGCCCCATGCCTTATGTGCAAATATTCATGATAAATCTGTATCAGCAAACTTACACTTTAAGCCTCATGCCTAAATCCTGTAAGAATGTGCAGTAAGACCTGCGCAGATATGTCTCTTTCTTCAAGCCAATTCCATCTCTTCTAGATGGAGCATAATCCTCTATTTCTTTTCTAGACATGTACCAGCGACCTGTTTCTTCCGCTTTCTTGGCGGCAGTAGAACTTTCACAAGCACTGCTATCAGATGTTCCATTATTTACTGACTCCCCAGACAAGAATCCTGTCATATGTACCAAGTTTTCTTTGCACTGAATTGAGTATATATGAACACTCAGGTTCTAATTGGTTCAAATTACTTCCTTGACATTGTGTAGCAAAGTGATTCTGCAGATCAAGAGAACAGAACTAGATGAAAATAATGCATCTGAAATTCAGAGTAATATAATACAAATGAAATCATATGATATAACATTTCTTCTATATCAATTTTAAACCAAAAAGCATGAAGTTAAAAAGAAATCTAAGAAAGCAATATAATATATATATCTATTTATGCTGTGCCCAATTAGTTTCAGCTCTCTATAGCCTGTCAGTTGCCTTAAGTGAATACTCAAGGTTATGAGTGCAGAAATAAGCAATTTCTCATTTTCATTCATATCTCCAGAGCTGATCCATTGTGTCTTAATGCGACCAATGGTGAAAAGATCATAACATCTACTATATGATTCCAACACTGAACTCCGGTCAAATGCAACAAAGCAAATGACCTCAAGTACATCTCCATTAATCTATATTTGAGACTTGTACACAGAGCAAGGGGACCTTTCAGTTTTTCACTCTCAATAACCTTTAGTTGTGTCAGTTAAGTCAGTCCTGATGATCAAATGATCTCATTCGCAAAAAAAAGTACGAAAAAGTGAACCCTATTTTGCAAAGAATCTCCATACATTAGGCAATGCAGAAGACTAGACATATCCCCTTTGAATATTTAACTTCATAATTATCACATAATCCTGAAAAATTCCCCTCCTAAAACATTTCACTATTTCAAGGTAAGAAATGCCGGTCCATTACCGAACCCAGAAAGATTTCAATAAATTGATTCATAAAAGACTAAAATTTTCAGAAAAGGATGAATAATCAGCCAATTCCAGACGTAAATGCGATGCAAGGAACAAGATATGTGATAGATCAAACACTTCAAGCAAAGGAAAGAGAAAAGAAGTAGCAGAAATAGAGTTAAAGAGAAAAAGTTTCAGCAGCTTACAAAGCCATTAAAAGAGAGTTAGAGGGTAGAAGCAAGGTCGTGTCCTCGGATGCGAGCTTCGTGGTCCTCGATTCTCACCGCGACTCTGTTTCCTCGGCGATCCTTGCAGCAACCCGAAGCTTGCAATCCTGCTGCTCGAGTTCCCGTTGCTTTTTCGGTTTTTTTTCCCCGCAAATATTTACTTAAATAAAATAGTATTTTGATTACTTACTTTTTTTTTTTTGATTTAAATATAAGACTCAATTCATTCTGTCTATCGTATTTATTTATTTGTTTCTCAAAGTAATTCTTATAGTGATAGTAATTTTAAGTAATAGATATGATTAATAAAGGTATTTTAAGAAAAATAACTTGTATTGTATTATAAATAACTAACTTAACTAATTTTTTTAATCTATTCAAATTAATTAATTAGCTCTTATATTAAAAACAGGATATGCTATTTTCAGTCCTTA